AGGATAAAGAAATAAGACTCTGTGTTAATAAATATAACATCCGCGGACACATAATTCCTCTTTGATATGAATGTATATGAACAAAGACAACAAAACCAAATACTCTAGGAACGAAATGGTGTGTAACATTGACTCTTGAGTAGAACTTCGAGAGAACTTTTATAGGGCTTTTAAATTCTAAAACACTTAATGGTAAACAGTTGATAAGGTATGTCACAGTAAGAATTGCCTCCCTCAATACTGTTTGAGAATGCTGTTTTGGAATAGGAAGGTCCGGGTAGTAGCAAGAAGGTGACTATTTTTTCTTTTTACCACTCTGTTTTGTTGTGAAGTATGGACGCATGGATACTCATGAATAATCCATTTTTGGTTAAAAAAATGATTGTGTGTGATTGAAAAAGTCCTTAATACTGTTAGTGCTGAATTGTTTAATGTGATTCCAAACTAATTTTTTATCATGTTATAAAATTGAGGTAATATATAACTCACATTAGATTTTGACTTGAACAAAGATAGTCAAGCGGCTCTTGTACAATCATCAATAGAAGAAATAAATCATCGAACATTAGAAATATTAAAGATGTGGGATGAACCGCAAATGTCACTATGAATTAATGAAAAAGGAATATTGCTCCTTTTATTACCTATAGGAAATGGTACACTTGTCTTTAGCAAGTTCACTTAGATCACAGTGCAAAAATTTTCACTATTGTGTTCCTTAAATAAAGAGATAAAAATCACCTTAAGAATTCTCAAGGAAGGGCATCCAAGTCTTATGTGGTGGAGCAATTAAGAGGCAAACAAATCCTGAAAAATTAGTGGCAGGGGCTGGTTGTGGCTGAAGAGGTCTACAGAGGCTGTGTGTGGTCGAGGCAGGTGCACGCAGAGGCTGTGTGTGGTCGAGGCAGGTGCACGCAGAGGCTGTGTGAGCCATCTGGGCAGCGGGACATGGCTAGAAAGCAGCTGATTGGAGTGGTAATGGGAACTAAACAGAGAGCAGAAACAGGGGCGAAACAGAGCAACGAGTGGAGCAGGATAGCAAAAGCAGAGGTGGCTGAAACAGGGGCGAGGCGTGCAAGAAACATAGGACACCAAAACAGAACACACGAAAACAGAGCACGCGAAATAGAGGTGGCTGGCAGCTGTTTGCAGCTGAAACAAAGCAGCTGCAGCTGAAACCTAGGAAAACAGAGCAACGACTGGAGCAGGGTAGTGAAAACAGAGGTGTCTGGAACAGGGGCGAGGCACGCAAGAACACACCAAAATAAAGCACACAAAATAGAGGTGGCTGGTGGCTGTTTGCAGCTGAAACAAAGCAGTTGCGGGTGAAATCTGCAAATATATTTATTCTGGCAATGAATGTCGGTTTATGGTTCTTTTATGTTTTCTTATATACACGATTCTTAGTACATGAAAGGAAATCCTAGTATTAATTACACACGAGTATTTTACTACTATACTCTTAAATATGAAATTACACATGTAATCTACGTCTAACGAAGAGAATATTTTTATCTAAAGGGGAGAGATTTACCTTTATCAAAAGCATTGTAGCTAATATTTCCGTCTATTACATATCTCTGATGACAATCCCAGTGAGTGTGGCCAAAAGACAGAAATCTATACAGTGCAGATTCTTATGGGAAGATTCTGAAGAGAAGTGAAAGCATCATCTTGTGGCTTAAGACGAGGTCAAAATGTGAATTCATCACGGTGGGTTGGGATTGAGATCATTGGTGGAGGTTAATATGGCTCTTCAGAGGAAATGACTTCGGAGATTCGTGAATGAGATTGGTAGTCTCTACTGGAGGATGATTGAGGTGAAGTTTGGTACTATGGATAAAGGATGGTTCACTATGTTTCTGTCTAGACCCAAGTAATGGGATGTGGAAGAAAATCTACATGGATAAAAGGAAGTTCCACAACTGCATCAACTGGAGGATAGGCACTGGAGACAAGGTCAGATTATGGCATGATACCTGGTTGGAGGGTGGTACTCTCAAAGCTTAATTTCCCATATTTATGCTATTGCTGGGGTAAGGACGCTTTGGTCCAAGTACTCTACCTTGGCACTATGGAGAGTGAGGAGTGGTTTGTGGAGGTCATGAGGAATCTCAATGATTGAGAAGTTAGGGAAATATGAGGCGTTACTCCTTGCCCTTTGCTAGGATTAGGCTTGATGGGAGCAGAGGTCGACTCATTTGGAGCATCAATAATGAAGAGATATTCTCTGTTAGATCTTTCTACAACCACTTAACAAGAAGAAGAGAGGTTATGGACAAACACTTTCCATCTAAGCAAATTTGGAAGGTATTGCATCACTCAGAATTGCTTTTTTTGGTTGGAAGGCAGTTAGATGATGCATTCTAACATTGGACAAGCTGATTAGGAGGGGCATGATTCTGGTGAATGACTGTTTTTGTGTAAAAGAGATGCTGAGTCATACGACCATATCTTGTTATGGTGTCCTTTTGTTTATAGACTTTGGACCCTCACTTATGGCCTCTTGATTATTAATTGGGTGTGGCTGGCTCGGTGAGAAAGGAAATTTGGGAATGGAAAGGAATTAGTGGTGTGAAGAAGCATGTTAGCCTCATTCACCCTTGCTACTTTTTGGGTGGCATGGATGGAAGAACCGGGAGAGCTTTTGAGGGCAATAAAAGTGAATTTTGGTAGGATTAAGATATTTTCTGTACGGATTTTTCACTAGCCGGATATTTTGATTAATATGTAAATATTTTGTGTACGCATTTGCACCCCTTTGGTGCTTGTGATAAATACTTTAGCAAGAACCCCCACCAATTTAGCATCAGAGTCAGAAGTATTGGAATTAATTCTC